ACCGAACGTCAAGTAGGACGTAGGGCGTAGTCTTGTAGGACGTAGGGCGTAGTCTTGTAGGACGTAGGGCGTAGTCTTGTAGGACGTAGGGCGTAGTCAAGTAGGACGTAGGGCGTAGTCTTGTAGGACGTAGGGCGTAGTCTTGTAGGACGTAGGGCGTAGTCTTGTAGGACGTAGGGCGTAGTCTTGTAGGACGTAGGGCGTAGTCAAGTAGGACGTAGGGCGTAGTCTTGTAGGACGTAGGGCGTAGTCTTGTAGGACGAAGGGCGTAGTCTTGTAGGACGTAGGGCGTAGTCTTGTAGGACGTAGGGCGTAGTCTTGTAGGACGTAGGGCGTAGTCTTGTAGGACGTAGGGCGTAGTCCTGTAGGACGTAGGGCGTAGTCTTGTAGGACGTAGGGCGTAGTCTTGTAGGACGTAGGGCGTAGTCTTGTAGGACGTAGGGCGTAGTCTTGTAGGACGAAGGGCGTAGTCTTGTAGGACGTAGGGCGTAGTCTTGTAGGACGTAGGGCGTAGTCTTGTAGGACGTAGGGCGTAGTCTTGTAGGACGTAGGGCGTAGTCCTGTAGGACGTAGGGCGTAGTCTTGTAGGACGTAGGGCGTAGTCTTGTAGGACGTAGGGCGTAGTCTTGTAGGACGTAGGGCGTAGTCTTGTAGGACGTAGGGCGTAGTCTTGTAGGACGTAGGGCGTAGTCTTGTAGGACGAAGGGCGTAGTCTTGTAGGACGTAGGGCGTAGTCTTGTAGGACGTAGGGCGTAGTCCTGTAGGACGTAGGGCGTAGTCTTGTAGGACGTAGGGCGTAGTCTTGTAGGACGTAGGGCGTAGTCTTGTAGGACGTAGGGCGTAGTCTTGTAGGACGTAGGGCGTAGTCTTGTAGGACGTAGGGCGTAGTCTTGTAGGACGTAGGGCGTAGTCTTGTAGGACGTAGGGCGTAGTCTTGTAGGACATAGTCTTGCTAATTTACTTATAGAACTTTAAGAACCAGAGCCCTAAACTCAGAAATATAAGGCCCACCCGTTTTATGGTATGCTGAAAACGCCAACGACCACACTTCAGCACCCCCACCCCCGGGCCTGAGTGTTACCCCTAACCCAGCGCCCACATAACTAACTTTATCCCAGCGCCCACATAACTAACTTTATCCCAGCGCCCACATAACTAACTTTATCCCAGCGCCCACATAACTAACTTTATCCCAGCGCCCACATAACTAACTTTATCCCAGCGCCCACATAACTAACTTTATCCCAGCGCCCACATAACTAACTTTATCCCAGCGCCCACATAACTAACTTTATCCCAACTAAAGGATCACAACTCATCCACCAGGTCCAAAAATATTTTTTTTGGATTTCTCTCAACAACCTAAACAAACGCTGAGCAAAAATAACCGACATCTATAAATATCGATACTAGAAGTAATCGATACCAACCTAATTTGTCCATTATTTTATTTGTCGATGCCCCTACATGTATTCGATTATCCGAATTAACTGAGTCATCCTGGGGCTAAATGAGGGGCTATAACTCATGCTGGGGATGACGCTAAGGGCAGACAATAAATTCAGTCGATCCGAAACCTTAGCCGGAAAATTGTGGTGGAACACAGCTTGAAGCCTTTCGACAGACAGCTAGTCATTGGACATCTCACAACTAAGACAGTAATTAGACATCTAATGACTAGACATTAATTAGACATCTCACAACTAAGACAGTAATTAGACATCTCACAACTAAGACAGTAATTAGACATCTCACAACTAAGACAGTAATTAGACATCTAATGACTAGACATTAATTAGACATCTAATGACTAGACATTAATTAGACATCTAATGACTAGACAGTAGTTAGACATCTAACGAATAAGGCAATACATCTTTAGACTGCTAACGACCAAGGCAGCAATCTCTAGACTGCTAACGACCAAGGCAGCAAGTCTCTAGACTGCTGACCCAATAGTAAAGAGTTCGGATCCAGGGCTCGAATCTACTGAGTCCACCCAATTCTTGGGCACGTGACTCCCGTGAGAAAAACTGGCGGTTGGGCATGGTGGTAGAGTTATGGTGTCTTGTGTCGGTTGGGCATGGCTGTAGAGTTATGGTGTCTTGTATCGGTTGGGCATACACCCACAGATACAACCCTACAGATACACCCACAGATACAACCCTACAGATACACATACAGATACAACCCTACAGATACACATGCAGATACAACCCTACAGATACAACCCTAAAGATACACCCACAGATACACATACAGATACACATACAGATACACATACAGATACAACCCTACAGATACACATACAGATAAAAATCATAGGTAGACTGAAAATGCTGCATCTCTAATGTTATGTTATATGTCGTTTCGTATGTCGTGTCGTATGTTGTATGCTGCTTGTCGTGTCGTATGTCGTGTCGCAAGTTGCATGTTGTGTCGTATGTTGTAAGATGTATTGTATTTCTAATTACAGGAAAAGGTAACTCTAGCCTTCAGGCAGGTAATTAACAAGATCACGTGACCGCCGTCTTTGTCAGCATGTGGCTCTGGGTGCAGACGATGAGAAAATTTGGGGCCAACCATGAGAAAAGTAGGGGCCAACCATGAGAAAAGTAGGGGCCAACCATGAGTTCACTTGGTGCACATTGACAGCTTGAGTTCAGTTCAGTGCACGTTTAAAACGAGTTCACTTGGTGCATTGAGTTCACTAGGTGCACATTTAAAACTAAACTTACGGCGTTGATGAACCATGTTACGTTACTTACATATAGCCTCCCCTGATTGTGTGTGTTGTGTGTGTGTGTGTGTTTTGTGCTCGAATGACAGGTGCCCTCTATTTGTTTATAGTTGTAGCCCTTGGTTGAGTGTGTTTACATAGAACGAGAGGTGTTCACGTGAGGGTTGTCAGTTGACGGGTGACAGAGCGGGTGTTAGGGTGTGTGGCGGTTGGTTGGTGTGTGTGGCTGAGAGAAGACGTGGACGAGTGTGTTAAGTATTGTGTATCGTAATTTGTGTCGTAAACCTTTATTTTTTACGAGCCGGCCCGCGGCATAACATAACGCCGCTATTTAGTTGTTGTTTTTTCTACTTTTCAGTAATTCATAATTTGTGAATGCGACAGTACCAACGCTGCCACTGAAAATATTTCTTTAAAACACTATAAGTAGCTCGTTAAGGACCATACCCCCCCCCCCCCTTCCTCCCCCCCCCTACGTTTAAAATCGTTTCAAACTAAATTATCTACCCCTAATAGCCGTCACTAAACCCGACTTAACGAAGGTAAACATAGCGTGAACCACAGCTCACTAAGACCATGTAGGGGTGGGGATGGTAGGGAGCGCGTTTACAGCTTGTTTTCTAGCGTCTCCCAGAAGAGAATTATATATATAGATAATATATATACATACATATGTATATATATATATATATATATATATATATATATATATATATATATATATATATATATATACATATGTATGTATATATATATATTATCTATATATAAATCAAACACTTTATTATAACCTAATATATTGTTGCGTGCGTTGTATTGTGTGGTCCCATGTATTACAGTAAGTAGACACATCATGGGGCTCAACATGTTGAAATTCTCAAACAACTAAAAACTCAGTCATAACAGTGTTATTTTTTTTTAAACACTGACAAAAAACATACATTTTTACTTTCTCGTATACGAAGTATAGAGAAAGTATTGTAATCGTGCAAAAAAAAAATCGAGATTTTCGCAAATCTCGACGTTTTTACCTCCCTGAGTCGGAAAAACATTGTTTTGCAATCTTGTCTGTATGTCTGTGTGTAGGTGTGTATGTGTGTGTGTCTGTAAACACGATAACTTTGGTACGATTACAGATAGGTTGATGAAATTTCATAAACAAGTATTATTTCAAATTTGTGGTTCTGTATCAAACTTTTTAGCGATTTCCGGTAACCGGAAATGTAACTAATTTTACTTTCAATTTTTCAAAAGCCTATAAATTGAGTACTGTTTCAGATAGATATGAAATTTCACATGTAAGTAAACGATCTAATTCTCTGCCTTCTGTCAATTTTTTAGTAATTTCAGTTGAACGGAAGTAGTAATTTACGCTATCTCCGATTTCTCAAAAAAAAAAAAAAAAACGAATGTGAATTTATAAAGTACTAATAATATTTCGCACTCTTATACACAGATTATTTGGCGTTCACTTGGTGTGCATTCTTTTTCTACGAGATTTTATTCTATTACGTCACTCACTCAGCAACAACAACATTCGCTCGATTGACGTCACCGAACCCTATGCTGTGCCCCCCCCCCCACTTCCCCACCCCTGCGTATTGTTGCAACATGCCAGTATCTTCTAATTGACGGCCGCAAAATGTCTTCAGGGCCACTGGACGACACACTTAACTGGACGACACACTTAACTGGACGACACACTTAACTGGACGACACACTTAACTGGACGACACACTTAACTGGACGACACACTTACCTGGACGACACACTTAACTGGACGACACACTTAACTGGACGACACACTTAACTGGACGACACACTTAACTGGACAACACATAAACCTGGACGACACACTTAACTGGACGACACACTTAACTGGACGACACACTTAACTGGGCGACACACTTAACTGGACGACACACTTAACTGGACGACACACTTAACTGGACAACACATAAACCTGGACGACACACTTAACTGGACGACACACTTAACTGGACAACACATAAACCTGGACGACACACTTAACTGGACGACACACTTAACTGGGCGACACCCCGACTACGCGTCATACCACCCAGACTATGTTCCCCTCCCCCCCCCCCCCCCCAGCCACAGCCTCTAGACTCTAGACTAGACTAGACCTACCCAAACAGACCCAAATGTTTTCTCAATTTTCAGTCTTGTTTTCTTTTCAGTCACGTGATTCAATAAGTCACATGATTGAATTCGGTCAGTTTTTTAAAACAAAAATGTAATGACGTTCTTGAAGCAAATAAAAGTAGAGGCTGAGATAAAAGTAGAGGCTGAGATAAAAGTAGAGGCTGAGATAAAAGTAGAGGCTGAGATAAAAGTAGAGGCTGAGATAAAAGTAGAGGCTGAGATAAAAGTAGAGGCTGAGATAAAAGTAGAGGCTGAGATAAAAGTAGAGGCTGAGATAAAAGTAGAGGCTGAGATAAAAGTGAAGGCTGAGATAAAAGTAGAGGCTGAGATAAAAGTAGAGGCTGAGATAAAAGTAGAGGCTGAGATAAAAGTAGAAGCTGAGATAAAAGTAGAGGCTGAGATAAAAGTAGAGGCTGAGATAAAAGTAGAGGCTGAGATAAAAGTAGAGGCTGAGATAAAAGTAGAGGCTGAGATAAAAGTAGAGGCTGAGATAAAAGTGAAGGCTGAGATAAAAGTAGAGGCTGAGATAAAAGTAGAGGCTGAGATAAAAGTAGAGGCTGAGATAAAAGTAGAGGCTGAGATAAAGGTAGAGGCTGAGATAAAAGTAGAGGCTGAGATAAAAGTAGAGGCTGAGATAAAAGTAGAGGCTGAGATAAAAGTAGAGGCTGAGATAAAAGTAGAGGCTGAGATAAAAGTAGAGGCTGAGATAAAAGTAGAGGCTGAGATAAAAGTAGAGGCTGAGATAAAAGTAGAGGCTGAGATAAAAGTAGAGGCTGAGATAAAAGTAGAGGCTGAGATAAAAGTAGAGGCTGAGATAAAAGTAGAGGCTGAGATAAAAGTAGAGGCTGAGATAAAAGTTGAGGCTGAGATAAAAGGAGAATTGACGAGAAAAGCCGAGAACGACAGGAGCCCAGACAAAGCTTGCCGGTAAAACATCCCAGCATCAACAGAGATGGGGACGGTAACAATGGGGACTAGACCGGCAGACCGGTCAGTGTGCCGGCTAAATGATAACGCGGCAGAGATCTGGTTTTTTTAACCATTGGGGTGCCGTGGTAAGCGGAAATCACACGGATATATATGGGGGGTTGCCGTGGTAACCGGAAGTCACACGGATATATGTGGGGGGGTTGCCGTGGTAAGCGGAAATCACACGGATATATGTGGGGGGTCAATACGGGGTCAGGAGTCAAGGGGAGGTCACAGGTCCCTGGGGTCAGCTGAGTTAAGGAAACATTTTGGTTTGGCTGATACATCATAATGGCATTACAGACGTGATTACGTGCTAGAATCAGCTTTGATGCTTTGACTTTTTCAGCAATAATAGTGTCACAGTTTCAACACTCGTTCATTCTGTGGAGCCGGGAAATCTTGAAACTTTAAACTGTTGCCAGTAAATCTTAAAACTTTAAATTGTTGCCAGAAAATCTTGAAACTTTAAACTGTTGCCAGGAAATCTTGAAACTTTAAACAGTTGCCAGGAAATCTTAAAACTTTAAACTGTTGCCAGGAAATCTTGAAACTTTAAACTGTTGCCAGGAAATCTTGAAACTTTAAACTGTTGCCAGGAAATCTTAAAACTTTAAATTGTTGCCAGGAAATCTTGAAACTTTAAACTGTTGCCAGGAAATCTTAAAACTTTAAATTGTTGCCAGGAAATCTTGAAACTTTAAACTGTTGCCAGGAAATCTTGAATCTTTAAACTGTTGCCAGGAAATCTTGAAACTTTAAACTGTTGCCAGGAAATCTTAAAACTTTGAATTGTTGCCAGAAACGCGTTCACATTTTTATCAGCCAAGCCCGCAGGTGAAGTAGAAGAGTCGTTACTTATCAAAAATCAAACCTCATCAGTCAACTGTTGGGTGATGGTCTCTACCACACCCGTGATGATTCATCAATTAAAACATTCGCGAGCCATAATGAATTCAAATGTCAAGGTCACGTTCCGACGCCATCATTTGGTCAAACATTTGGTCAAACATTTGGTCAAACATTTGGTCAAACATTTGGTCAAACATTTGGTCAAACATTTGGTCAAACATTTGGTCAAACATTTGGTCAAACATTTGGTCAAACATTTGGTCAAACATTTGGTCAAACATTTGGTCAAACATTTGGTCAAATATTTTCACGTCTGGTATCTCTATCAGCCAGACGATCGCTTTGTTTACTGACATTTGCTGACGTCATGTCATGTTTACTGACATTTCTGAGGACACTGTCATGTTTATGTACTCTAAGATGTATAGACGGATGTCGGCCTTCTTATGTAGGATTTGATCTCCTTCAGCTAAATTGGAATTGATCTGGATTTAATTAATGAACTCATTAAAATTTGACCTTTCAAGCTATGATGACCTGACTAACCCTGACCTATTTAAGTCTCAGTCAAATATTTGTATGTTGGACATTTCTTGTGTTGGATGAAATGTTGTATGTTAGACACACGAGTAATGGTTTTCTAGTACGTATGTTGTACGTATGTTGTACGTATGTTGTACGCTTACATCAGACAAACCGACTCGCTTAATGAACTGCTTTCAGAAAACGTAATGGAAATTTTTTTTTGTGCGTCTTGGTTGGATAGTGTAGAAAAAAAAATGGCGACTAAATTAGATTTGTATCAAAAGAGAATTTTCTCGACGTTGGTGATAGACGATGTGGATAATGTCGGCAGGGAGGACAACAACAGGGGGGGGGAGTAAATAAAGGGAGAGGGGGGGAGTGCAGGTACGAGTAAAGAAAGATTAATTTTTCTACAGAAGCGAGTTACAACCAAATTTAAACCAACCAATCAACAAGCTCTCTCACGATATCGACTAATCACTGACACCTACATCCCGACATACTGACAAACACACACTGACCCACACACCGACCCACACACTGACCCATACACTGACCCACACACCGACCCACACACTGAGCCCCACACACTGACCAACACACACTGACCAACACACACTGGCCCCCACCCACCAACCCCCACACTGCCCCCCCCCCACTGACCCTCACACACTGCCCCCCCCCCACTGACCCTCACACACTGCCCCCCCCCCACTGACCCTCACACACTTACCCCACCCCCCACAAAAGTCTACCACCAAGCCCCTGATATCTGCAGCTGAGTAACCCCCCCCCCCCTCCCCACTCCCAATCCTCACTCAAACATTGGCAGGAGATGTTCGTACGTCTTTGACCCCCCCCCCCCCCCCATCCTAATTTTATCAATTTACAATCCTGTTCCCCGTGACGTAATCTTTAACCCTGTAACTTCCGAGCGGTGTCTGTGTCGGACGACTCAGCAGCGATCTGTTAGCTTCCCATGCTTGGTTAACCCCCAAATGGCGAAACTATTCAAGTATCCATTAGGCGGGCACCCCGCCCTCCTCCACCCACCAGCACGTTGTGTCGGGGAGATTTGGGCTGTCAGACCCCCGGGGGGCCCATCTATGGTCATTTATGGGACACGGGGACAATTGGATAGACATCGACGTGAGACTCGGGACAATTGGATAGACATCGACGTGAGACTCGGGACAATTGGATAGCCGTGTCCACGAAAACATGCCTACATTAAATATCAATCAAGCCAATCTTCCAGATATTGCCTTCTGATGTTATTTTATCCAATTTCGATGGCGGAGTAAGGGGAGACATGGTGCCGTTTTAGGGCATTACATCATGATTCATAACGTTGGCTAAGAAATTTCTCGAATCCTCTGTTCAGGCTTCCTTTAAAAAACCTCCATCAAACGGCCTTTTAATACTTCACATGTGCTTTACAGATCTGCCACTCACATAGATGTTGCAGATCATTTTTGGTTTGCTTTCTTTTTTAAAAAAAACCGTAATTGCGTAGGCAGAAACAGAAAATGTATCTGGCTACAAGAACATAAAATTTATCTGGCATCAAGAAAAGAGAAAATTTATCTGGCTACAAGAACAGAACATTTATCTGGCAACAGGAAAAGAGAAAATTTATCTGGCAACAAGAAGAGAGAAAATTTATCTGGCAACAAGAAACGTGAAAATTTATCTGGCAACAAGAAAAGAAAAAAGTTATCTGGCAACAAGAAAAGAGAAAAATATAGCCACGCCCCGTTTGATGCCCGCTTCAATCCATTAACCTAAATTTCTAGGTTAGTCTAGGTTAGTCTAGGTTAGTCTAGGTTAGTCTAGGTTAGTCTAGGTTAGTCTAGGTTAGTCTAGGTTAGTCTAGTCTTGGTTAGTTTAGTCATGGTTAGTCTTAGTAAGTCTAGGTTAGTCTAGTCTAGGTTAGTGTAGTCTACGTTAGTGTAGTCTAGGTTAGATTAGTTGAACTTTGGATAGTGTAGCTTAACCGAAAATAGCCGTTAAACCTAGATTAACCCAGATAAGCCATATCCAACCCAAACTGACCTCTGTGAAGCTAAAGCTGACTCCTGATACCTGACAGAGGGAGACCATACCACGTGACCATACCACGTGACCATATCACGTGACTACAGGGCCACCAACAGGGCCACCAACAGGGCCATCCACAGGGCTATCCACAGGGCCACCAACAGGGCCATCCACAGGGCCATCCACAGGGCTATCCACAGGGCCACCAACAGGGCCATCCACAGGGCCATCCACAGGGCCATCCACAGGGCCATCCACAGGGCCACCAACAAGGCCATCCACAGGGCCACCAACAGGGCCATCCACAGGGCCATCCACAGGGCCATCCACAGGGCTACCAACAGGGCCATTCACAGGGCCATCCACAGGGCCAACATCAGGGCCATTCACTGGGCCACCAACAGGGCCATCCACAGGGCCAACATCAGGGCCATTCACTGGGCCACCAACAGGGCCATCCACAGGGCCAACATCAGGGCCATTCACTGGGCCACCAACAGGGCCATCCACAGGGCCAACATCAGGGCCATTCACTGGGCCACCAACAGGGCCATCCACAGGGCCAACATCAGGGCCATTCACTGGGCCACCAACAGGGCCATCCACAGGGCCATCCACAGGGCTACCAACAGGGCCATCCACAGGGCCACCAACAGGGCCACCAACAGGGCCATCTACAGGGCCATCCACAGGGCCATCCACAGGGCCATCCACAGGGCCATCCACAGGGCCACCAACAGGGCCATCTACAGGGCCATCCACAGGGCCATCCACAGGGCCATCCACAGGGGCCACCAACAGGGCCATCCACAGGGCCACCAACAGGGCCATCCACAGGGCCATCCACAGGGCCATCCACAGGGCCACCAACAGGGCCATCCACAGGGCCACCAACAGGGCCATCCACAGGGCCATCCACAGGGCCATCCACAGGGCCACCAACAGGGCCACCAACAGGGCCATCCACAGGGCCAGCTACAGGGCCATCCACAGGGCCATCCACAGGGCCATCCACAGGGCCATCCACAGGGCCACCAACAGGGCCACCAACATGCCACCAACAGGGCCATCCACAGGGCCACCAACAGGGCCATCCACAGGGCCATCCACAGGGCCATCCACAGGGCCATCCACAGGGCCATCCACAGGGCCATCCACAGGGCCATCCACAGGGCCATCCACAGGGCCACCAACAAGGCCATCCACAGGGCCACCAACAGGGCCATCCACAGGGCTACCAACAGGGCCATCCACAGGGCCATCCACAGGGCCACCAACAGGGCCATCCACAGGGCCATCCACAGGGCCATCCACAGGGCCACCAACAGGGCCATCCACAGGGCCACCAACAGGGCCATCCACAGGGCCATCCACAGGGCCACCAACAGGGACACCAACAGGGCCATCCACAGGGCCATCCACAGGGCCATCCACAGGGCTACCAACAGGGCCATCCACAGGGCCACCAACAGGGCCATCCACAGGGCCATCCACAGGGCCACCAACAGGGACACCAACAGGGCCATCCACAGGGCCATCCA